GACTGTACACCGAATGCAAATATGGCGGATCTCTCGGTCGGCCCGGGTCTAGTTGCGCGAAAGCGAGGCTAGTGAGGCCTCGATAGTTTTGACTGCGCGTCTTAGCGATTCAGTCGATGAATATGGTTTCCTTCGAGTTATTACGTGCTTAAGAGCCATCAAATAGGAGATTTAACTCCAGGAGAGACGACAGTTGATTATCTTCGCTTTGCCAAAGTTCTTTACGAAGAAAGAAATGGATTCAAGCGATTCGACACGGCGAATGGAGGCACTCTACTATCACGGAGTTATTTTTTAAAGGAACGAAAGTGTGCTCGCTTCACTTCAGAAAAGAAGACTCACGAAACTATTAGAATGGGTGAATAACTGAAAGATTCATGGTTCTGTTTCAAGTTTGCTTTGTCCGTTCTCTTACCACGGAAAGTTCAATATCCTCGAGGACGAGTGAATCCGCAGTCGCGACTTAGCAATCTTTAGGCGCTCTCAGGGACACAACGACAACTAACAAGGGCGAATGTTTTTTCACAGTCTTCACGATCCTGTGTTCAAAAGTTTGAGTAGTACCATAAAAGAAGCAATTTTGGAAAATCGCTGTTAGTTTATCTCGAAACCATTCGACAAGTTGCTAAAATAGATCACGCGCAAGGTCAAATACTATCATGCTCGAATACTTGGACGCTCTTTTTTTTTCCAGAACATTTTTTCGTCTTCTTACTTTCTTAGTTGGCAACGGTTCCTCCGTTAGTTTTTTCAGTGCATTTTGGTCAAGGACCGTTCCTGAAATATGTCGCTTTCTTCTGGTTCTTACGTAGTTTCGCAGGTCACGCTTGTAGGATTAACAGGCGATTGTTATTTTTGTTGTTACATTTTAATGCAGCTGTTTTCAGCGGGAAATCTAAAAGATCTTACGGTCCACTGCGGATGCTCCCGTTCTCGAGAATGTTTACCTTTTGTTGGATAAATAACAGACCATGCAAACATCTTGGAACAGCACCATCTCTTGTGAAAATTATTTCAATCAAATACTTTCGTGAGTCTTCTTATCTAAAGCAAGTGAGCGAGCACAGTTTCGCTGTAAAGTGCTTCCCATCGCCGCGCCGAATCGCATGAATCCTTAAGTTTCTTTGTGAAAAGATCTCGGGAAAGTAAAGGCTATTCCAGCTAGAATAAAATCTTCTTTTCGGTGGCCCTCAGACATGCAACAACTCGATGCAAACCATATCGATCGACTCAATCGCTAAGACGCGCAGTCAAAACAAAACTCTCGAGGCCTAACTAGCCTCGCTTTCGCGCAACTAGACCCGGGCCGGCCGCGAGGTCCGCCATATTTGCATTCGGTGTATTACAGTGACTGGATTGAATTTGACTTGATGAAAAACCAAACTTCATGTGAAACCGTTAATCTAATGCAAAAACAATTTGCGAGATGGGGAATTCCTGATGAGATTGTCACAGACTGTGGTAAGAACTACGACTCAGTCGAGTTCTCGCAATTCTGCCAACGAAAGAAGATTAAACATACCAAATCTTCACCATATCACCAGCAAAGTAATGGAAAAGCTGAATCTGCTGTGAAGATTGTCAAAACTTTGCTGAGGAAAGCTGAGAAAACAAAACTGAGTCCGTACGAAGCATTACTTGACCAGCACAACACTCCTACTGCTGGCATGAGAACATCTCCCGCACAAAGATTTCTAAACCGTCGAACAAGACCTGAAGTACCTATGAAAGCGACATTACTGACACCTGAGATTGCAGAAACAGTGTTAGCAGAGAAAACTAAGAAACACCAGAAATCTCAAGCCTCTTATGACCGCACTGCTAAAGACCTAAATGAATTAAAGCCTGGAGATACCGTTAGAGTCAAGCCTGAAGGTCTGTTGAAAAGAACAAGAGTGGAAGAAAGGAACTGTCTCACAGAACTGTGGATACCGTTCATACGATGTTAATGTGGATGGTAAACTGCTCAGAAGAAACCGTGTACATCTTAAGGAAGATCAGCAAGTCAAAGTTACCTTACCCTCCTCGAAAGCTGGAGAACAGAAACCGACAGACGGAGACCTACCTGTCGCTGTTGTTAAAAAGAATGGAAAAAAACTCAAGCCCCTAAATGACACTGCAAAGGCTGCAGAACCTCCTAAATGCGCAAAGATGGACCTTATTACTGTTAAACGTACACGTTCTGGACGCTTAGTGAAAATGCCGCGCAGATACTCTAGTTAAACGTAAAATTGTAAATTTTACTAGGGGGAAGGTGTTAGAGGATGGTAACCCTAATGCTAGGCATCATGGGAAGGGGCTCGAGAGAGCGACGTTCTGTCATGGCGTTGAGTTGAGTTACTGTCTTGTTACTGTTAGAGCTCTCACCGAAACACTAATAATGAAGAAATCGTCGTAGTACCTCGTAGTTCTAGTTGCACTAATCTGACGATGAAATCATTTTTTCCGGCGAACCCCAGGTCTTACCTTTAGTACTTTCATGACTGAAGCATAGAACAAAGCAGCAATTCTTCGATTTACCGACTGCATGCGAGTGATTTCGAACAAAGTACACTTATTAACGGAATGACACTGTTTTCCCCCGATAATTCGATAGCCTTTGTTTTTACAGACGTCTCTGGAAGAAAATAAAGGTAAATCGCTGATTTCTACAGCGTATTTAACGAATATTCGTCTCCGCTGTCGCTTCCCGCGAGATGTTCACTCCTCGCCATCTTGACACAAATGATCAGGTTTTGAATATCGCCCATGATGTTTTGCGATCCCAGTGCGCACACCGCCTGATTCTTGTGGACACTGGGCATACTTTCACTAGACTACTCAAAGCCACAAAGTCCCTAAAATTGAGTAGAGAGGAATATAACTCCAGAAGAAGAGTCGACCAAGTATCCGAGTAAAGGATCGACCGATTTTGGTGGCCTATCTATCGCTATGTACATAGTTTAAAATTCCAACTTTTGAATGATATTAATTTCTTTTATCATTCATTCAAAATATTTCCCCAATTTTGATTGGCTAAAAGCACACGCGTAATTCACCACGGCCAGTTACGGATGACCAAATTTGGAAGAATTTTGTGTTTAATGAGGAAATGACGTCAAAAATGCAGCCCGGTCTACAAGTTAATGCACCTTTAACCGAGAAGACCTGGGGACGAGGTTAAGTTGTTTTTGTTGTGAACTTGAAAAATGGCGGACATTTCACTCGTTTCAAGAGTAAGAACTAGGCGAAAAAATAGCTAAAAACATGGCAAGAACAGCGAGAAGACAACTCGAAGGGCTACATCTGCTGTTTGGAGAATATCTGCGGAGCTGAACAACCCTAAAATTAACGTGCACTATCGAAGATGAACTTAACATCGATGGAGGTAAGCATGTTTAGCCATGTTTTTAAACTATGTTTTGAATGAATAGTAAAACAATTATTGAATTCGGCTTTCGTATCATATGAAGAATTATGGAGAGCGAGGAGGGTGTTATCCGTCGAGGCCGTCTTCATGAGATACTCAGCCTCATTTTTGCTCCTTCCCCCGCCGCAATAGTACTCTACTTGCTAGTTGAAGGAGCAAGAAGAACGTTTTTGGCATCGCAGGTTGTTGGGTGTTATCCACAAACAGCTGTAAAAGCATCGATAATTTAAATTCAAATGGATTCTGTAGCCTCATGATCTTATTTTGAATTAATGTTATAGCAAACACAAAAGAATAAGCATAGATATTGTTCCTTAAATATTTTTATTCAAAACCCATTTGTTTATCCTTCCAAGAACTTCGCATAACACTTACTGGATTGTAGATCCGTTCACGCAAGTACAATCGGCTAAGTACATGGTTAAATCCAAAACAAAATCCATCTCGAATCTGGGTGCATTTTCCAATTTTTCTCAAACTGAACGTTCAATCTATAATTTTCTCAAAATTCATGCACGAAATTGAAGCGGGAGCTATTTGTCTTGTCATGGCGCTTCTGAAAAATTGGATTACTTTTTTTAAATACCAGCTTATAAATTGATAATTTTTCCCACGTCCAATGATAAAATTCACACCATTACTGAATACAGACAATAATTTTACTTACAGGTTTCACTCAAAGTATTTTTTAACGGTAGATGACTAGACATGCAACCTTTGATTCGCTGGTTACGTAACTTGAAAAAGCCAGTCAGAAATAAAAATCACTTTCTACAATTTGACAATTGAAAAACTGACAATATTCTCAGAAGTCGTGAAGTTTCGTAACTTAGCAAATGCCCCCCTTAAAATACCTATTGTCCGCTCGTTCAAAATTTGTTGTTACTAAATGGCACAATGTAAAAAAAAAAAAAAAAAAAGAAGAAGAAAAAAAGAAGAAAAAGTGAAACATTAAATGGAATTTTGTTACTTAACTGAGATGTTACTTTCCTGCAACGCTATTCAAAAGAACTGGCAGTTGAACGTTTCCAGGTTGTAAGGTGGCTTACAGTTTTGCTACAATCACTTTTTGAATCATAACAAATGACTGTTAGAAAAATGCTTTGCGTTAAAAGTGTTCTTAACATGAGGATAAACTTAAAGCGGATAACGATAGTTAAACTGCGCAAAGTAACAGGAAAAAAAATGATCAAAAATAATAAGAGGGCTGATCATGAAATGCAAATTTTGAAATGGAAACTCTTAACAGCACACTTGATACGTTGACATCGAATAAAGACTCGTATATAAAATATATTGGGAAAAAAAAAACTTATATAGAAGTCTCCATCCATTTTCCTACTTTAAAATAAGAAAAATAAACATCTCAAAGAAGACAGCAGTTGCAACATCGTCAGACAGAGATGTCGTGTGATTTATGTTTTTCTTGTTCCTTTTTCTTCTTTATATTTTTTCTTGAACTTGGTGCGTTATCTTAAGTCCCTGAGTGTATAACTAACACAAGCCTTTTTATGTCAAAAAGTTGAATACGAATGATTTTGTTGCCGGTGAAACTGTAGACACGAGTTGCAGTCATGCCTTCAGGCTAGTGCTACTCTGAGCGTTTACTACGAAATTCCGCTTGCTTGTTTTTCTCCAAGACAGAGTGCAGTTTTAGAAAAATAGCAAGAGGGCATTGGCGACGTTGCACAATTGAGTTGAAAGCATACAGGTGGGCTGATGTTAAACCTAGTTCTCTATAGCTGTCAGCAGTTCTTGCATGGTCCTCTCCAAACAGATTCAGACGGATATTAAGTGCATGCTGGTGTGACTGTTGAGACAAGGGGAAGTCACCCATCTCATACTGGGTGATACCGAGCGAAAAGTAACTGTCAGCAGTTCCTGCATGTTCTCTCCCAAATAGGTTTAGACGAATATCAAGAGCACGTTCGTGAGACTCTAGAGCTGAGGTGAAATCATTCATCTGATATTGTGTGTTACCAAGGGAATAATAGCTGTCAGCAGTGGAGGCATATTTTTCCCCAAACAAATCTAGACGGATACGAAGAGCACGCTTATGAGACTCTAGAGCTGAGGTGAAATCTTTCAACTTAAATTGGGTGTTGCCAAGGGAATAATAACTGTCGGCAGAGGAGGCATGGTTGTCCCCATACAGTTGTAGACGGATGTCAAGAGCATGCTGCTGAGACTTAAGAGCTGAGCTTAAATCATTCATCTTATTTTGGGTGTTGCCAAGGGAATAATAGTAGTCAGCAGTGGAGGCATTTTTTTCCGCAAACAGTTCAAGTGCACGCTGGTGAAACTCTAGAATTTCTTGAGCACGCTGGTGAGAAAGTGGAGTTGCGGGGAAGTCATTTATTGCACTCTGTGGGATCACCAGTGAAAAGTTACAGTCCTTAGTACTTTTGTGCTCCTCTCTCATGAGCTTAGTCGGTGAGTCAAATGTAAGTCGAACCTTTGAGTGAGGATTAGTCTCGAACACCTCCTCCTTCTTTTTTCTCGCAAATGTTTGTATCACTTTGTGCATTGTGAATGACTGATGTTTAGGGCTAAAATCAATCAGAGACTTACTTCGAAGGCTTTGTAATATCTCCTTGGCTTTGAAACCCTCTTTCAAATCCAACTCAGCTACAGCTTCCTCTGTACTGAAACTGGCAGAAAGAAGACTCAAACATATTAGTGCTTCTTGTTCTTGCTTAGAGAGACTCTTGTAAGAGGATTCAATATAGGATTCAAATGGTATTTGACAACTAGGTACGTACTCTGGATTGTTCATTATCTTCTCCATATCCTCAATAGAAGACTTTAAGACGTCATCTAAAATTTGGCGTGGCTGAGTGGAACTTTCACGTATTAAAGAGCACATTAATTGCAAGGCTAGAGGAACTTGCCCACAGGCTCGAGAGATTTGCGCGCAGTCTGCCGCTGTTGTATCTGGAAGTAATCGATAAAGTAAGGATTGAGCAGAGGTCTCATCCAGCGGTCCTATCCTGAAATCTCGGTGGCCTTCAAAACGGTTGTTCAAATACTCAAGAGGCTTCCTCGAGATTAAGAGGAATGCCACCCCTTGATTTTGCATAAGTTCTTCAAAAAGCAATGCGACCTCTTCCTTCACTTTCGACGAGCCACCGTCAAACAATTCATCAGCATCATCAAGAATAAGCAAAGATCGGTTCCCTATTAGACTGACCATTTGTCGCAACTTATCATCAAGCGATACACTTTGATGGAAGGGTTGACCATTTATGTTAGGTTGCCTTAAAACGCTAAGAAACTCTGAAATAAGATCGTCTTTTGAATAGACCCTTCGCAATGAAGTATAACAAACAGGACATCCCTGAGACCGGAGAGAGTGCCCTACTGCAATTGCAAGTGATGTTTTCCCTATTCCAGCCGAACCCGATATCGTCACAATTTGGACTGATTTGGAGGTCAAATCTTGGATGATCTCCTCACACTCGCCTTGTCTTCCAATAAAATCTGGAACCATTGACGGTAAGGTGACCTTTGACAGATATGGCCATACACCTTAAAAATAATCAGAGACATGCTTATTCAGATTGTTTTCCAATGGGTGTCACCCAAAAAGGGGCTCAATGGAGTGGTAGGTTTGACGGTTGCCCGTTAATTTTTTTTCCAATTTTGACGGTTGAAAGTTAAGGCCTTGTACAGAAAAATGAGCTCAAAATTTTGTACAACTCCGTGTAATGGAATATGTAAATCAGGTCACGTGACCTTTAACTGCCAGTTTTCGCGAAAAATCACTAGTTTAGAATTACATAGGATAAAAAAACTCAAAAACATGCAACTAAATAAACAAAAAAAACAAATAATTCAATGATGGAATAATTTATTTGGAAGTGTTATCTTCATTTTCCAAGCATCTCCCAAAATTAGAAGGCATAACAAAACTTTAAAATTCCTTACAACATCCACAACAAAGTTACGAAATTATCGGAAACTTTTCACCAGTTTTACTCTGAGGAACAGTTTTCTTTGGAGATTCTGGCTCTGTTCATGAAGGTTCCCGTTTTGAGGAAAAATAAAGCCATCAACTCCAGTACGTACTTGTAACCAGCCATTTTTTATCTGCAATGAAAACTCTGACTTGCACTAGGTAATTTATTCACGCTTTTTAGACTTGCCATCACATTTGCAAGTGCAGTTTGCCATTAGGGATAATGAGAAGAATAAGACGGTTGTCATTTCTTACTTTATCTTTATCCTCAAGTGGAAAACTTCCCGTGCGAATGTGATGGCAAATCTAATGATCTTAAATAAATTACCAAATACAAGGGTTTTAATTGCAGCTGAAAAATGGATGGGTTAGAACTACGGGAGTTGGTGGCTTTTATTTCTCCTCAAAACGGGAACATGAGACGCTAAAAACTCTCGAGAGTTTTTCGTAGATGCTATATTTTGCTTTGTTAAGATTTGTTTCAAAAAGAGAGGAACAAATACAAAGTAAGTTTGATGAATAGCAGTTCTTTAATTTCACTGCGCACTCAGCAAAAAGTTGTTCTTCTTGTAGTGCTAACTGTATTCGCACGATTGAAACACGAATAACTTCAAACTTGCAGATATGAAACTAAAGAGCTCTAAGGCTTATTTGCCGAAGTTAGGTAAAAATCTGTCGTAGGATTTCGAAGTTATTTACATTTTTGCAAAAATGCGGTTTTAAATATATGCCGATACCTCAAACTTTTTTTTTTACTCGTACAAGAAAATAGATAACAATTTCTTTAAGTTTCACCATTCTTTATTAAGAAATGCCAAAAATCATAGAAATCGGTTAAATCGTTAACTTTAAGTTAAGAATTTCTCAAAATTGAAAACTTTCCACTAAAAACAGTTCAAAACAATTGTTATAGACAAAGCAAAAGCGAAGCTACTAATTTTTGGGGTAGAGGTAATGAACAGTAAAGCACAAGTTAAGGGGAAACCTGGTCACGTGATACAAATTCACGTTTGCCGTAAAAGTGACTATAAATCTTCCTAAAAACATCACTTCTTACGCGCTCTCTCATTTTAATAAGTCCTGGATACAAGTCCCGGATGTAAGTCACGAAAAGCTACTGTACACAACACCATACCTTGCAAAGAATAATCATCATCAATACAATCGTCGTCATCATCACCATCACCATAATCATCATCTGAACAACGTCCTCGTCGTTATTGCAATTGTATTTTAAGTTAATTCAGAAAACACAATCACTTTAATAGCATACCTTTTTCACCAATTTGCGCCCCTGAAAAATATCCTGATGGCAGACTAAGGATTACACGCTCATCCGTCTCAGCATTATTTCCCCCCATTTGAATTTCATTTCCTGTGGCGAAGGCTATGATATAAAATTAAAGGACAAAGAATTACTACCCTGCTATAGCATAAAAGACGATATGATCGTCGAAGTTATAATTATGATATAGTAACTTTAGAAGTTACAAATTAACCCGAAAAACGTTTCTGGGCTTCAACAGGATTGGAACCAAGTCCAATGGCCTCCGCGTTAGCACTGGAGTGCTCTTCCAACTGGGCTATGAAGATCCATACATGAGGAGCAGGTCAACTTATTGAATTCGTATTCACCCGTCAAAGAAATGAAACATGAAAAGCAAATTCCCCCCCCCCCGCAAAAAAAAAAAAAAATGAAAACCAAATCCGCTTTTCAACGGGATTCGAAACAATTGCCTCTGCGTTAACGCTGGCTGCAGTGTTCTGCTAAATGAACTATAAAGAGCCATAGATTGTGAGCAGCCCAATTTGTTAAGAAAGGAATGAAATATGGAACTAAGATGATGAGAACTACGGAAATACAGATTAATTGAGGATATGAACTGATCCTCGCAGTTGTAATAGCAATTTAAGCGCGTTCATTATATCACCTTTTCTAAGCATGTCTGAATGGTCGTCTTCAGAATCTGACGTTGGCTCTTCCGAATCACATAACAATGACTCGACATCCCCATCGTAACTACTGTCGCTGTCGTTTCTGCCATCACTGGTGTCAGCTTTTTGAAAAAAGGTAGAATAAGATAAGACTTATATTAAGTCTGTACTAGATTAAATAAATTGATAAAGCCAAGCCTTAAAAAACACAACAAAAAGAAAACTCTAAGCCATTACAACCAATCCACAAATGTTTACTTAGGATCCCAGGACAAACGCAACCTGCATGACTTAGACTGTATTCCTCCGCTTAGAGAGTCGCGCCTCCCCACCCCGCAACCTCCCCTCCGCGAAGTCTGTACGGAAGGTTGGGAGGGCATACGCTGACGTCATAATAAAATTTTCTTGCATCGATAGTTTTGCAATTTTTAAAGCAATGGTGGCTCGGCTCAACTGCAGAAGTTTATGGGGTGTTATTATATGGCTACAATAGTACGCGCACTCTGATTGGCTGTTTTTCCGTAGTGAGCGAGCGCTGACACTACTAGCTAGGTGTCCAAGGTATATACAATCTGTGTTTAACTTGATAGTGGACATCCTTATGGAAATCCATGTCATGGTCAATTGACAGCTGTCAAAAAGGGTATCCGCTGACCAGTGTTACCTGACTGTACCACGGGATCAATAGTAACAACTCATTGAGGTGACGTGTTTTTAGTGATCAGCTGACCAGCTATTGGTTTTAATTGATCGCAGGCTCAGGTCCATAATGAAAAGGCCATATAATAAAGTTGTTAACCTCGTCCGTTCGGTCATTATAGGGAAATCTCAGACCTCGGCCTCGATGTATTGACCTCGCTATAGGTCAATACATCAAGGCCTCGGTCGACCGAACGGACGAGATTAATAATTGGTATTTATCATTCATTTGCACTCAGCAGAGTACAAATAACGCCAAAAACGAGTACAATTAGAGACCTTTAGATTCTAAGACGAGAACGACTACGAGTACAAGATTTTCTCAATACTAAGTTGTGCTCGCGTGTGAACCACGGTTATGTTGGCGGGAAAACGAGGTAGCCGTCGTCAGTTTTAGCCAGAGTGTCGTGGTGGCGGGAACAAGTTATCAAATGTTAGAAGTTTTAGCATTTTGCAATCTGGATAGGGCTCAACCTCCTTTAATAACGACAACAGTGCTAACTTTTCCGGTGAAAAAAAGCACAATGAAGAATTCCGGGGTGTCTATTTTTTCGTCAATACACGAAAAAACTTAAAAATCAAATCTCGTACTCGTAGTCGTTCTCGTCCTCGAATCTAAAGGTCTCTAATATCTCACGATATTTGTACCCCAGAAGACCCGTTTGACCGGTTATAATCCCGCACAAACGCGTCGGCAAATGGAAGAAAATGCATCGTTTTCTGAAGAAAATAACGGAATAAGGGACAAATGTAATCTAAAATAACACAAGTTTCTATATTAAAGTCGTCTGAAGAACAATAAAATGTCGAAATTTATTAAAAATAGAAAGAGCATACAAACTTTATGCTAAAGATACAACAGAGAGACTGAACAGTCTTCACCTCTTGTTCTTTTAAAATATGAGGAAACTCGACATGGTAGACGTAAGAAGCTCTCTTTTTGTTAGTATAACCCGGCGAAGATCAGGTTTCAATTCTTTTGTTTACGAGTGGCACTTTGAAACTTCTAAAATTTGTAGAAGAGTTTTTGTCTTTCCATCGTAATTTGCTCTGCTCAGTTTTTCTACTTGCAGTCCGTTTAACATAACCGATTATCATCATAATCTCATGATTATTTATCATTCGAGCTCTGTTTTTCTCGCAAATGTTTGAAAGCGCCGACAAAAACTTGTGAAAAAATTGACTTACCGAGTAAACTAGTTTGAAAAGTTTTCATTTCTCACCAATCAGAAACAGCGTTGATGAAATCGCGCGAAAACTCGACTCACGTTAGTCTGTCACGCATTCTCGTCGTAAGCACATTTACTGAGTTCTATTTTATACTCCTCGAGTTGAATAATAAATCCCTTATTGGACGGTCTGGTTTGTAGTATCGTGGGATATTTTTGCTTGTCTCTTGTATTTTGACTCGTAAAAATATCCCACGGTACTACCCACTAACCGACCAATAAGATATATGTACTTACAAGCCTCATCTTCTTCGTGGGATGCATTAATAGCTGCCAGCAATTCTGACAAATCAATCCTCTCGCGGCCCTCTGGAGTAATATCTCTAGCGTATCTGTTCAGTAAAAATACGTCAAAGACGAAACGTTATATGTTAAAACTGATAAAGGAGAGATTTTTTGGTCGTTATCACGCGTGCTCGCATCAGCTGTGTGGATGAGTGATTTGTTTTGGATGCGTATGATAAAAATGATGTAATCCTTTGCAGGAAAAAACCTTTTGTCCACTCCAAAACGCGGTAAAGAATTCTCAAAAGGTAAATCTGAAATTATCAATCGGAACACGAATTAACTCGACGAAAATAAACAACAGCTTCAGCAGAACATCTGAATTGGTAAAAGACAGAAGAAAGATAAAGATTGGAAACACTGAATATGCTGAAACCGACATTTCGAGGTCCCCCACCATCACATTATTGTTGACGCAAAAAAGTTAGCTCAATTGAATAAGCGCCGGTCTGCTGAGCGAAAACTCCGGCCGGACCACACTCACGGTATTTAAATAACTTAGCAGCAAGTGCTCCCTTTGTAAAGACATCTGCTAATGGTTAGACTTTTTAGTCTTCTCTTAAAGACGATAAACTGTAGGCCCTGTCTCACAGCCCTTACTCAATATAAAAATTCTGTGGGACGTCAAAGAACTTACACATTGTTCGTAAATAGTATAGGGGACGTAGTCCCCGATAGTGTGGTCTATCTCTTTCCTTTACCTTTCAGTTCCCTCTTCAAGGAAAAGTGCTGCGTTCTCGTGATCATGATTCATAGCAACGAACTCCAGTAATGCTAAACTGTCCCACTGCAAACCAGATTCTGCTGCTTCATTAATCAAGAACCGTAACACCTGAACTATCAGCGAGGATTCTAAAAGAGCGAATAAGATGTCATGGGAAAGAAAGCAATAACAAAAAAGTAAGTAAAATAAAATAAAATAAAACATCTACCGTTCATTAACTTAGCTGCAGATTATTATTATATGTTTGTTTAGCTTCAGCAAATTACATGGTGATGAGGTAACTAAGTTAAAAAAAAAACAAAGCAAAACAAAACAAAACAAAAAACAACAACAACAACAACAAAAAAAAGGATAAAGAAACATACCAGAATTCCCGGAGTATTGAGATTCACCACTTTTGATTGAAGCATGGGGTCTACAACGGATCAATATATTGCTCAACACTATACACAGTTCCTCGTAGCTTTGGGATGCTTTTTCACCAACTCTCACGAGACATTCGTCATCTGTGTGGTGACAGGGATCCATGTACCAAAGTTCCGCTTCAACTAGTTTTCTACCTGTCACTGAGTAGATTTTCACAATTTGCTTACCCGGTTTCGGTGAAGCTAAACGAGAAAATGAATTGTGTTAGTTTGATTCCGGTTAACAAACTAAAGTGTTGATGAAGTCGATTTTTTAACGTTCTTCTGTTGTAGCTCTATTTTCTGTAATTTATCAATTTAAAAAAACATGAGCAAAGACAGGATGTGCAGTTCACTTTTTCTAGGGTACCAGCGAGGGTTAAATTGAAGCAAAAAAAATGTAGAAAATGGTAAAAAAGGTAAGGTAAGATTCGTCCTAAATCGTCTTACTTGTTTTCACAGCCACAGGACCTTGTGCTATTTGAATGAATATAGTGGTCAGGTGATGAGAGCCGAAACGCTTTATGAGCATGGTAATAGCCAAAAAGCTTAGTCGTTATGCCCGAAAAACGAATCGAAAAAACATCTGAAATTAATTTGCATCTTTAAAGCAACTGATTTGTTTTCAAAAGTCTCTTTAACAGCGGCACCCGGCAACCCTTAGATGTCTTGTGGTGCAATCGGAAAGCAAAAATACACAGACTCCACGCTCCTTGAACCTACAGAAGCTTGTAAATTTGAAGCCGTTGCAATCACTTTCAAAATGGAAACCAAAAAGAACGACCGCAATGAGCATGAGCAAAAGAAACGTCCGCTGACCAGCACTCCGCTCTATTCTAGGCCCCATTCTCCCCATTCTGTCTTGTTTTCTCAGCCTTAGATGTCTAAGATCATTTTATTTTTATGCCAATACTGATTGAGATCAATCTGGCAACTATCGACAGCTGTTGGTATTCTCTGCCATTTTAATCACTTAGAATCGAAAACAGTGGCAACCTCGCGCACTTCACAGTCGTTGGATCATGGATAATAGTGCAACGCGCGCGAGTATTTAATGCATGAGCCCGACCGTTTAATGGCCCGATCTCGAGAGTAAATTTACCTTTATTCACCTTAATTGTACGCAAAGCCAAAATTTCTGAAACATTTATCATGCGATCTTAGACATGGGTCACCGGAAACGTAATGGAAACAAGAAAGAACGGAAATGTGATAACAGAAATGTGGTCGAAACATGATCGTTCGTTTCCGACTCGGAAACATAACGGAAACGCGTCCCGTCCATGGAAAACTAGATCACCATGTTTCCGGATGGCGGAAACGAGACGGATTTAAGCAACTTCACGTTTCAGTCGAGTTTACAAAATACGGAAACACGTTATTTCGTCCTGTGCCAACGACCGTATTTTTGGAAATATGTTTCAACAAGAGAGGTTGGTCAGAAGTGTCTCAAATGGTTTTCTCTATGCTTTTAAAAAAGCATATTAATTAAAAGCCTGTCTGTTTAATTTGAGCTGCCTTAAAAAACATTTATCTCTTGGGATGACTTAGAGGAAATTTCGTCGTCTGCAAAGCTTTAGGTGGCTCTTTCGTCTCATCCGAAATTGTTAGCTAAACCGTGATGGGTCCATGCCCCTGAAAAAATGCATTGAAGCAATAAAACATACGTGGAATACAATTTCCGTTCCCATGTTTATCGCCTTTCTTCCAGAGGATTTCTTTTTCTAAATTTCCAACGGTTGCATATCCTGATTGAACCTCAGGGAAGAGTTCTGCCAACCCAAGGAATTCACAAGAGGGTGCACCCTAGATAACAAATAATTAAAAATGATATGAATTAAGGACCAAGATTTTGTTTAGAAAAAGAATTTTTTATGAAGCAGGCCTGCAGTTTAATGGGTGGGTTTTCAAATCAGACAAATATCAATAACTTCAGTGGGTGTACGGGGAAAAGGCAAATGTATCCTGTCAAAGTTTAAATTTGTTAAGAAAAAAATTAAAGTAAAATATCCTTTGACTTACCGATAAACCAACTGCATTCGGACGTATCTTAATAATCGCGGGGTACTCCTCGAGAGCGCTATCTGCATTGTGAAGAAACATCATTAGTAAAATGTGCCTTTGTCAGCGACACAACATTGTAAACTGGTTTTGTGCCTACTTTGCTCTATTAGTATATTCAAAGCGTTCAGAATTCAGATGTGCCGTTGCCTTAAGGTGGTACATTGAACTATGACAAACTTTTTGCTCATATCTTTTTTTATTTGGATTTTTTGGTTTTCTCCCCTAAGTGAACCCTACTATACGAAGAAAAAAAACACGTGAAAATTTTTGTTGTTATTTTTTACTGAAACTTATTGTATGAGGTTTTATTGATATAATGCACATGCCAAAGTGATTTAGAGAAGTCATTAGAGCAGAAATCAAGTTCGTAACAAGTAATTAGGCAGAAACAGCTTTGAAATTGTTTTGGAATTTCGTAAATTGAACTAAAATTCCAATTCGGACACGCGCTGAAAACTGGTTCTATGAAGAAACATTAGCTCTTCGTCATAGAGTCTATGAAGCACACCACAGTATGATTAAAGAAACCAACCACAGATGAGTGAACATACAATTCCTGTCGGCCATATTCAAGCAACACAGCGAACGTCCTCGCTCAAGTGTGTATTCACACATCAGTAAGATTTACAGTCTTGATCGTTTTAAAGACTTAACACCAACAGAAAGGAGAGAAACAGTTAATAAAATTATAATCTCATTGTGTTTGCAGGTATAAAGCCAAGTATAAAATTAATGTACTGAATTAAAAACTAGAAAAAAAATAAAACTTACTTTCCATATCTGACGTATGCCTAGACTGAGGGGCAGAACTGCTACTTTGTGAACCTAGCCCGGAGTCAGAATTGTTTCCACGCATAACATGTGATACCTATCAAGCAATAGAAAAATAATATTGGAAAGTCACATCATGGAGTACTTTCAATTAGATCAGGCTGATTCCTAATATGAAAATTAATACATAATACTACAAAATAACTGATTTTAAAAAGGTCTCAGAAAGACTTTTTGGAGCACGAATAAATAGTGTATCAGCTATTTCGTTTTAATCTTTCTTCCGGTTCCTTCTCTTTTGATGAAAAGGTTTTCAAAAATTACCCTTAGTGCTTTTTGAAATCAGGGAGGAAATGAGACAAAGTAAAAGCAATATAATCTATCTCCAAGAGTAAGGGCCTGTTTACGTGGAGGTGGAGGACCCCAGGTAGGTGAGGTAACCCGCTGCGGGTCACCCTGCCTATTACGTAAAAGTGATCTAATTAAAAAAAGAGATTATATGGACAGGCGGGTTACTCCACCTAGGCGGGTTACCTCGCCCACCTGGGGTCCCCCACCGCCATGTAAACAGGCCCTAAGAAGATTTTACTAGGGCTATTTACCCTGATTTCTCATTGAGGTAATATTTTCTATGCAATTAGTGAGTCCAAAATTGGTAGTTTGTTTTGAAAGACCTATAGTTTTCTATCAACAGTCCTATTACAATAGTTAGTCATGTAATCAACCTTCTGTAAACAAGAAAACATTTCGTTTTAGCAGGAACTGTCAAGGAGCATATTAAAATCAGGTAACCTGTTGTCCATTTTCACACGTTGAGACTGCAATAGCCGCCGAAACTTAAAAGGATTTGTACCGGGAAAAACATATCTTGCCATTCAGTCATGGTTGAGTGGTTTTCCATACAAATCTTGAAAGTTTCAAACTGTCATTAAATTTCTCAATTATGCGTCACAAGCCTCAAATTTTCTTTTGTTCATGACAAGAAATTCGAGTCCCCTAACGTGTGAGGGGCATTCCCGCCTCTTCCGTCTCGTGCCTTCAGTCACGCGCGTGGACTTCGTTTCGTGTCCTACGCGTTTTGCTCGACGGACTAAGAAAAAAGAGGGACTGCTCGTAGTATGCCTGAGTACAGGTTAGTTTATGTCGCAGGTTACACAGCGCTCACCTGTGTTTGCATTGCATGAAGAGGTCCAGGCATTTGAATGGTGTTGTGTCTTTGGTTTTTTTGACTGTGTAATCCCACATTATTGGAAGCTTGTGAAGTCAGACTACTATCGACACCACTTGGCGATAATAAGGTTGTCAGCTCAGAATCATCCATTTCGGAAAGAGCAATTAGGTTACTGAAATCTATTTCTAAAAGATGGAAGTGATAGTTAGGAATAAATGGCATATATGCTGCTGTTTAAAATGTTGAAGCAGATATTGAAAAAGATATATCCTGTGATTATCTAATAAAAATAGTTTACCTGAATCCGAACTATCGTTTTCCCGCCAGCACAAATTTGAGGACTGAAATTGAAACACAAAACAATGTTGTAAAAGAACTTTAACGGGGCTTTACATCTGCCCGCTTTCGGTAAAAACATATGCGTGGAATCTCATCCAAAGTTTATCAAACCTTCCACAATTCACGTATTCGTAACCATTATGATATTAAGACAGAATCATTGTGTGATTTGTTACTTATAATGTACATGCTAGTTTAATAGCATCTCGGAATATTGTAAGACGATAGTTATCTCTGAAAATCTGAGCCCAATATCCCCAGTAGTTTCAGCTCATTCTTTTGTCATCAAGCAATTTCGCAGTGTTTGAAGGCTCTTTATATATTTATGGACACGGCTTCTATTGGTTAAATTGTAGCTTATTAGGAAAAATGTAAACAATAACGTCAGCAAGATTGTCCCAGCAATTCTGGAGGCTAGTTTAATATTTAGTCACTAGTGAGGTTTGCGTATTGTAAAACTAAGCTGTTTTCCCTTGGGAATTGCCCTCCGTTGGTCAACGCAAGACCTGGAAAACTATCACTGAATTAACATCTCGCAAATCAAATAAAACACTAATAAAAAATCATACACTTAAAAAAAAGCGTTCCACATTGACGAAAATGATATCTTGTTCATGAAATCGCAATATTACGGATTACATGTACGCGGTTCCTGTGAAGAAAGGTTTACTTCGATCTAAAAAGTCTAAACCAAACTTTCCAAATTCATCACTCAATGAAATAATCAATGAAATAATTCATGGAGGGCCGATGGCAAACGCTCTTTACTGAAAAGGCGTTTGGGTATCTAACACCAATGAACTATGCATTCCAGTGTTGGGCGAGATTCTGGACTCTTGTTTTTTCTCTAGGTTAACGGTTATTACCAAATACAAAGAATGGTAATTACCTCAAGCAAGTCATCTAGAATTGGTCCTTGAGGCGAAACCGCAATCTTATCTGACGATGCCCAGCGTCTACCACTTGCACTTGAATTCAAATCTGTCAAAACGTAAATTATAAGGCAACTTGCAAAGTTTTCAGCTGATTTATCGCCAGTTTTAACTCGACACCCTGAACGCACCTTGAAGACAAAACAGTCAGTTTTTTTCTCTTAGTTCACATGAAGTGGAGGTAGTTTAAATGCACTTGCATTTTCAGCTGATATACATCCAGGCAGTAGACACAAAGGGCAGGTTATTTAAAAGGAGATTAACTAGTGTTTATCAAAACCATTTTAATCGAAGTCATTTTCAGTTTGCCCAACTCTTTTATCTAAACACCATTTGCAGTAAACCGTTTCATTAACGCTTATAATGTAGACTAGAAAAGCATTTATCTTCTTTAAATAACCCACTAAGGGAGAGATTTGGGGGTCCAAAGATTTCTTAAACCGCCGTCTAAGTTAGACTTAAATAACCGACCCAAGGCATCCCGGCTAAGATTTAGGTTATGTGCACACTCGAACGGAGAGCGCACTCGAACGCCGACACGAAAAGCTATCCTGTATATCACGAAAACCTAACCTATATGTGTTGCTCCACTTTAGAGATCGGCACGGCGCAGCTCCGCTCCGTTACAGAAATCACGCTTTGAAACAGATGATTGGGGAAACTCAGAAATGGCTGATTCCTATTCAAGTGCAACTGATTATACCTGGTATACTTGCACTTCGTTTGGAACTCGTGTTTAAAAGGTTCGCAAAAAATCTCAGTTTTATGTCAGATGTAAACTCGTGTCAATCTACTCAATCAGGTATTAATGAAATGTTCTTTTACATCCAAAAATGCTATGATACCTTGATTAACGCCGTGGGCATCGGTTTCCATTGGCTGTATGGGCTAGAATCATAGAAAAAAGAACACAGCTAGTGGTTTTGAAAACATCGAAAGAACGATCAGTCTCTTTTAATTACTTCCATGCAATTATTACTACAACAAATATCATCGACCAGTACAAGGTACTTCTAACTGTAGATAAAGCACTGTTCACACTCCGTGCCAGGAGCCGGGTAATTTTTTTTTATCTAAGTGGCCTCTTGTTCAAACGTATACGATGAAACGGCCACCGACAACGTGGCCTGTTCCAGGCTCCAAGATAGCAGTGCAGTGTAGTCGTACGGTAGAAAGTTATGCAAAAAGAAAAAAACCGCGCGGGTGTTGGGAGAGAGAGTGTGCCCCACCCCCTTTCCCAGTTACCGCGCTTCTTATTTCCGCTTGGTTTGTTTTATTTTCGCGGACGTCCCTACTATCTGAGAGCCTGGCGCAGGCTAGCGACATTGCATTCTTTCAGAAACGCCTCCAGAGAAGAATATATTTGTAAACGTTATTTCCCGTACTCATCTGGACAGACGAAAACGGATTTTTTTTGGAAAACGATGACGTCTTAGTACCTGATCCGACTCCAGATAAGAAATGTTTACTGCCACCTTGGCTATTTTTGGATTTTTAATGACTCAAAGCATAATTTTCTTCTTATCATTTCAAACTACAACTTAATGAGTTGCGATTCTTTTGCCGCCGGTCTCAAATCCACAAGCAAGACTGCAGAGGTTCTAAGTAAGAACATTTATTATGTGCAACAGTGCTTTGTGAGATAACTTTGTCGACCAAACGTTGATTTCAGAAAGAGAGTGGGTATGATACAAGGCCATGTCCATATCTATTTCGCGTGGTTTGTATGAAATATTCAAGTGTCATGAATGTAAATGTAAATATAATTTAACGCTACAGAAACTTGGTCCACATATCACATAGAGACAGTTTATGGGCACGTGCAACATCGATCTGCCTACCAAGATCGTTGTGGTTACCATATTGATGCAATCTTTAATATCTATATTGATTACTGATGTGACGAAAAGGGAGAGTGCTTTACTGACCTGTGTATTCACATTAGGAGAATTATTTGA